TTTAAGTTAGTTGCTTTGTATGATAAACAATGGTTTTTGTTTGATAGAATACGAATACTGAAAAGACAATACTTACCTTATATCTAATTTTCAGTGTTGTATTTTAATTCAATACTTGAACGAGACTAAGAAATTATTAGATATATTATTAAAATATTATTGTCATCTTTTTTAAATCATATTTGGTAACATAGCATGGATGATTACAATTTTTAATAATCATACATAATGTTCAAGAATTTAAAACAAAGTTCTATAATAACCTCTGCTTACATTAATATGTAATAAAAATAAAGTTATGGGTAATTCCATAAATATTTTTTAATTAAAATATTCCTCTGTCATTTAAATTCTTATTTTCTGAATCAATGTGATTTCCAATATTATTTAATTTAGATACCTATTTATATGCATTTGAAATTTATTTAATTATGAACACCACACACWTTTTAACAATAATACATWTTAATGAATGAACATTGTAATATTTAAAAATATGTGTATGTGTGAATATCTTATAAATTAAAATATATATGTATTATTAAAAAATAAGCTCTTAATCGCTATTGTTTATTGATAATAAAAATAGCTAATTACAACATAAACCCTAAATGAGTGACAGAGGGAGAGAGAGATTCTTACAGTGTCCGATAAATTTAACCAGACGTTATAAGGATTGCCCTTAGATTCTCATGAACAGGTTATTTGAATTTGTAAATTTGCTCTGGAGAATAAGGAAGGTGAATCAATCACATTATAAACTAAACGATTTAAAAATGTAATATCATTATTTTCTCTTTCTTTGGCCTTTGCCCAGAGTACCTAGCTAGATTTTATTTTATTATTAGGCTCTGTCTAAATATTATATCTAATAGTACTATAAGTTACAAGTTGTATGATATTAGTTGCAAGTCAAAARAATCCTGTTCATCTAAATAGAACTATGGATAACCAATGGTGAAAAATTAATACATACTTTGATAATCCTTTCAGAGACAAGACAAAGTATATAATGAAAATAATATTCCTAAAGGAGTTAAAGATGCCAAAAGTAGTGGTTTAATAGCTCCAAGAAGAGCTGTATTAAATGACTTGAGCAGTAACTTGCAGAATACTCAGAATGCTAATCAAAAAGGAAAGATTACAATAGCAAAACCCACTATCCAAATAACAAAACCTACTACAAGACTTGCTTCTAAGTAGGTGTACATTATAACTGCCATTTTTTAATATAATTAATAAAATAATGTGTTTTATTCAGTTTAAATCGCACTACAACCTCTGTTACTGCAAAAGTGAAACCTTCATTRAACACTTCTAAAACTGTACTTAAAGTCAATTCTGGTTTAAATGAAAATGTATCCAACATTCCAAAAGCTATCATCAGACCTAAGACAACTGGATTGATCAAGACTTATAGAGGTACTTTGACCAGAAGTTCATCGCTTAGAAACAAAGCAGTAAGTGAAATACTTAAATATAACTATACAGTTACTTAATATATTACAGTTGTTAAATAATCACATTTTAAAATAAATTTAGGTTGTATTGACAGAATCTCAAAAGAAAGAACAAGAATGGATTACTGCTTGTAAAGTAGATGCTGTCGACAAAAATGATGAATTTGATCCTTTTCTTGTTGGGGCATACTCTAAACCTATTTTTGCTTATATGATGACCTTAGAGGTATTAGTTACAATATACCATCTAGTTATAATTTATGATTTATTGTTAATTTAATGTTAATGTTATGAATTAAGAATCAATATTCTATAAAACAAGATTATTTAGCCAACCACAAATATATCACGTCATCAAATCGTAGTGTTGTTGTTGACTGGCTTGTAGAAGTACAACAAGAATTTCAGATTATGCAAGAATCTCTCTACACTGCTGTTGGAATTCTTGACAGATATTTACAAGTAACTATATATATATTTAAYGACTTGAACGTGATCATCTATTTTCTAACTAAAAAAAAATATGCTGGTATGTGTTGTATTTTCATTGTATAAATTGACAATATAGCAAATTTGAGTTATTCCAATGTTTAATGTTAAAGAAAATTATTATTTTAAAATTTTATTAATTTACATACTTATTATTAGATCGAAAATGTTAATATGATTTAAAAAAAACTTAGTTAAACTAAATGTTTTTCAGGAAAATCAAAATGTTGCTAGAAATAAACTTCAATTAATTGGAGCCACAAGTCTATTGCTTGGCTGCAAGTATGAAGAAATATATGTACCTGAGATAACTGACTTTGTCTATTTATCAGACAATGCTTTCACCAAGGATGAAGTAAAATCAAGTTTAGTGGATGTCTTCAGAACAATTAATTTTTCTCTTTCTAGACCTTTCTCCTTAACATTTTTGCGAAGGTTTAGCAAAGTGTCGGGTGTAAGTGATACATAGTGTTTTTTTGTAACATAATTTATAGATTATAAATACAATAATTTTGTTTAGGCACGATCATCACAACATTCTTTGGCTAAATACTTTCTAGAATTAGCTTTAATTGACTACAATCTAGCACATATTAAACCATCTGAAATAGCTGCATCTGGACTACTGTTGGCAGTTGTCATAACTAATGATCCAGAATTAGATGATAACCCTGAAGATGTCAAATCATTATTATCTTTATATTGGACAGATGTAATGCAAAAACACTCTACATATGAAATGGATAAATTGATATCTACTGTTCAATCTCTCGCGCATTTAGCTCTTAATGCCCCTGAATGGAAATACAAGGTAAATCATTTTTTTACTGCTTATACAATTCCCAATTAAAACTTATGATATTAAATTAATTWTTACATTATAAGATTTAATTTGATAGTGGAAACAATTGGTATTCAGAAATATAAATTTTATGAGATACAACTTATCTTTTTATTTAGTGTTCATAATTTTTATATGTTAAAAATAATAAATGTCACTAT